ATAAAACGATAGGTAGAGGAGGTTACCTTTTGCAATGAATAGGAAAGAGAAACCAAATAAATTTCGAAGCAAGTAGTTGACAAAATAAAAATATACCAGTGAACGATCTTTTTCTTGCTGTCAGCAAATTCTTTTACAAGCAGGCTCTGTTTAACCTTGAAAGAGAATCGCTAAATGATTTAACATAGGCAACTTACATAGCCTGCTAGTTTTTTTTTGCTCGTAAATTTTTGTCTTTTGTTATCCCCATTACACAGTACTAGCTCAACGGTACTAGCCTAGTTAAAAAGTAAGAACAACTCCATCGCAAGATAAAAGCGCTTAGGTACCTATTTCATATCTTTATCGTATTTTTTACCGACTTCATGAAACTCTTGGTGGCACCCTCTGTGAGAAAGAAGCGACACTGTTGACCGCGATATTAGTCACAGCTGCGTAGTTTATTTCCATTTCTCCAGTTTACATGCCCATTTTTCAGAACTTCATTCACCACTTTTTTTATGAAAACTTTTGAGCTTCACATAAATTGCCAAAATATAGATAAGTATTCACGCTACCGATCCCATACATTCGTATTGCTTAAAATGCTCCCTAATTTTTGCAATTAATTCCTAAACTATGAACTCTTTTGACGCATGTTTTCTAGATTTTTTAAACATATATTAATGGACAAAATATCAGTTTATATTGTATGGAAACTATGCTCTGTACATCTATCTACCTAATGCATATTTTTCCGATCATATACACCCCTTGCTTATGGAATGGTGAATGAAGTTCTGAGGCAATGCACGCCCCATTGAATTACATGTGCATCACCAGTTGCCTATATTCTCTAAATCCAAACTTTAAATATACTAACTAGCATTGTATTTTCGTTTATAAATACAATGCTACTAGTGTACAGAAAGTGAAGTGAGAACACAAAATTCAGATAAAGTGACTGTATTCAAACCAGCACATTCAGGTTCAGGTCACATGTTCTTTACAACCAAAGAATAGAAGAAATTGTCTGTCAGTATATGCAGTTTCTGTACATTTACAAACGAATGTTGACCCAGTATTCAGTGTCCCGCCGGAAGTACATCGTTTTTATTTGGACGTTCTTATGTACGAAAATCTTTGTTTCGAGGTAAAGACAAAGTACATCAAAAATTGTCCCGTTAAACCTTGCGACCGAAGTTTAAAGTAGGGTGCATTATTTCTGTTACATTTCCTAATTGTTTTTTAAATAACACACAGACACGCATAAATTTCCATTAGTAGTCACGCATTCGTGCAGTTCTTAGTTATCATCATCTGCGTTATTACATGATAGGAATTTATAGCTTCAAATTACAACAAAACGCTTTGCATAATCCACTTTCATTTACATATTTCTTTCTTAGCAAGACAAGCAACACTTAATAACATTTAATCACTTGTTCCAAATTTGTGCTTCAAAATACCTGCCATCTACACGCTTTAATTTCGTTTGCCGAAAAGAAGCTTTTGTGTTCAAGAAAGAGGCACACATAGGCACAGTGGGAAAAATAATTTCGTCGACAATAATCGGCGTGACGTAGTCAGGTAGGTTTCTTTTTGGCAACGACATTAAACTCATTGTAGATCTGGATAATACGACAATGGCAACAACATCCGTAACGGATTTATCTCAACAAACGTTTCGTGCTTTCTTTACAGTCATTACAACAGGATTTATTGAAAACGTGAGATTTGAGTAAAATACACTCGGAACGCGTCAAGTTTCGGTGAAGCAAATCGTGAAAGAATGTCGCGGTTTTATTGATGTGTTTATGCTTGAGAAATGTTAATGCTGAAATTATAAGGAGTGGCTTATTTGTGGTTGCGGTTGTTGAAAGTAGTCAAATCTTGCTAAAATTTATTATTAAGCAACCCAAAAAAAAATTACATCGTCGTCGTCGGTTTATATTTCGGAGCCGCGTTAAGTAAGCGGTAGCGACGGTATTTTTTGTATAATTTTCTTCAATTATAATGTTAAAATCCAGTTGATTTAGAACACATCAAAAACTCATGAATGATGGGTAGTTATTATCTATGGGTAGTTATTATCCTCTTCTTTTACTTAATACATTCTACATTATAATATTCAATATGCAGTTTCCTCAGTTCCTAAGTTATTATCCGCTTTGGCCTCGTGTTTTTTCTTAATTTGGGAAAAATTTTGAGGCGAATGGTGTCCAAGATAATGATGCCTATCATGGGGACCTCGGAAACCATAGAAGGTACGAAGATGGCCAGATTAGAGAAAGTATGCCCATGCCAGAAAATTCGGATAACTTCCGAAGATATACCTTCCAGAGAAACCGAAATTTGCCGGTTTTGTTTTTTTTTCTGATGTTACATAAAAAAATAAGAAAAACATTTTCTCATTGACACTTTTTGAGCTCTACAAGCACAAGACACCGTTGAGAGATTTTCAATACAACATTTCGTTTCGGTGAAATTATCGTTAATTTTATTTGTTTATATGGTTCGTAAAAAAGTACATACAGTATTGAGTAACATTTTTTATTGCGAATACAACGGTATACGGCACATACAAAAAACAAAAGTTGGAAATTGTTGCTTTCTACAGGATGGTGCACCCGCACACAACGCCCTACTCGAGTGAGCATACATATCGGACAAATTTCCATCCAGTTTCCAGGAAATTTGAAAGTAACATTTATGGTATTCAACACTTAGCTGCGTTATTATATGGGAAACCCAACGCGTCTTCTATATGTATAGTCGGAAGCGGTACCAAAAAGTTCTATTCGGCACGAATGATCAATTTTTTACAACTTTAAGGGAAATTTGATCACATTATGTAGGTATGTGGTAAAACTGCTACGCATTAAAGGTTACGCTAGGAGATTGTGGCTAGTGGAATGCTGTTATCCAGAACATATATTAAACAAGCACCGACGCCTGGCTTATTTAGTCCATGTTAAAAATTATGGTATGGCACCGACTTCGGGGACTACGCCTCACTCTTTTGACAAGCTTGGTTTATTTAAGCCCTTAGCTATCGAAAATATCGCAGTCCTCCATGAGTGATCAAAAATCGTGGGGCAAATTTAAAATCGTACTTTTTTTGTCCACTGATCGTACACGGTGTTTTTTTAAGATGAGCCATACGACAATGTAAAGGCGTTGAGTTATTTAAAATTGGCCATAGGGAAATTTACATTGCATTAAATTGTACCAGTCATAGCTTCCTAGTGAATCATCTGCCACAGTACTGTAGAAATTGTTTCTAAAACAACAAATTTATTCAAATGAGATATAAACGTATAAAATTACAATCGGTGCTCGAATTGTTTTCCTCCGGCCACCAAACAATACCCGATACTAGGCACTGAATAGCTCGCATACCACTGCCACTCAGCTACTGTGCCTACTGTACAAATTGTACTACATGAACACCTTTTCGAGCGGCGGAATACATGTTGCTGCTTCGTTGATGCAGTTTGAAGGATCAGATTGAGAACTGTCAGTAAAATAACTAAGCGCACTCTTCCTCCTCAGCATCTTAACTCCATTACTTCCGTTCCCATCCCTAGCTTTACCTCCCCCCTCCCCCAGACAAAAGTTTCTGCAACCTGCAAGTACCACGTGATAGTATATATACGGGAACGCCAGAATGATGCCTCGCAAAATGAGTTATGCTCGGAGTTACGTAATTTTTTAGAATTACTTTCTTGGAACAATGTGAACAAATGTGAATAACTATCTGTTATCAAACTGATAACAGAGTAAACTTGCACGACATCTAATAATTACTTAACGAAACTGAAATTCTAAAATACTAATTTGCCCCTCGTCTTCTAAATGGTAAGAGCTTTCGGACTCAACAATTAAAGTATATTTTGCGAATATTTTGTTTACGGTAACGGCGACAGAAACACATACCTACTACAAAAATTAAATCAAATACCTTTATCTTCTATCTTCAATCCCTAGTCCTAGAACCAAAACAAATATTTTCGTCACGACACTTTTCGGATCTATCAATATATTAATCACAAATATGTTTGATCTTTGTATCTACAGGTACAATCATGCAATGTGTAAACCACGTCTAGGCAGTCCTTGTTTGGAGAAGCAAATAAAAAATAATATAAAAAAAATAAAAATATCAATACTATGTGTCACTTTATTATTAAAATAGAATGACCAATCAAAGATTATATGAAATTTGAACCGTGCTTGGGGTGTAATTATAGAAAATAAAAAATACATATTCCGATTTATTTAAACTTTTAAATAATATGTAGGTACTTTAATTAGTAAGGTCGCCAGTTTATTAAATGTATCATGTCATCAGTCATGGCAAGGCCAAGAGATAAAATCGAAGATAAAAGTGTTATCATAGCTTCCCTTTTTTAATGAGAATGGTACTCAATTTTTTATACGGTCATAATTAACTAATGAAATATGTTAATTACCCCGATATCGATTCGTAATACAACACTACTCTATTAAATTGTTGAACCACAGCCGGGTTAAATTAATTTCGTTAAATAATGGAAGTTGCTCATTTATCATAAATATCAATTATTATCGAGGAATTATCTACTTATATCTACATTAACTATATATTGATCCGATGTGCATGCTATCCCATTAAATTTAATTGCATATTCGTAATGAAGTTATGAATGCGGAAATGTGCGTAATTTAACTGTACAATATCGTTAAAAATGTATTTGCATCATTGGTTGACTTTTTAACCACATGCCCATAACATTCAAAATGCAATGATGCAGGAAAATAAGTGGGGAAATAAAAACGTCACGTCAATGAACACCAATAATCATAATTCATTGCCTATCAAAGTGCTAAATTTGCGGTTTTACGGTCATATTGGTTTTGTGATTTTTGTTCAAAGAAAAACTGTTATTATTTAAGCTCTTTGTTCTGTGCGTGTAATTACCGATTAGAAAATTACAACACGCGTGTCTACTATATTAATTTGTTGTTCTTATTTTTAGGGACCACCGCAACCGGGACAACCGTTTAAGTTTACGGTTGGAGAATCGTGTGATAGAATAAAAGAAGAGTTTAACTTTCTTCAAGCGCAGTATCATAAGTAAGTTTGATTTTATTTGTTTACACTTACAAAAATACACATCATGTTTTCGGTTACTTCGTTCTTTAGGTGACAATGTCAAATACATATGAATCATGTCTTGGTTCATCTTTTATTTTGCATTATTGTTAAGTCCACTATCAAACCCAGTGGGGTCGATTTACGCACAGCGCATTATGCTAAGGGTCTTCATTTAGAGAATTAGAGAGAATTTAGAGATTCTCCACGTTCCAAAATACGTACTTTCAAAATTAGTCGCTTTTAGAATGTGGCCGGCATTTGTTATTGAAATACCAATATACTTTATGCTATCTATTATCTAATGTGTTTTTGTTTTTCAGAAAAAAATGCATTATCAATTAGATATTTCTTTGTATGACCTATTGGTGATATCTTCATTTGTATTAGTAGGTAATAAATTATGATTTACTAGCTGTTCGCGCTTTTTTAAATTTTTAAATTATAAACTTTTGGTGTAAAATATTGGTGTCGTAGCTTAAAATTTATAATTTAGTAAAAAGAAATATAAAAAAAATTGTTTTAAAAGGAAAGTATCTAGTTAGTTATGCATTTTTCGGAAAATAAAAAAAGAACAATTATTGAGCTCGTCTAACGAGAATTGTTTTCACATCAGATCATGGTTTCCGCGTGCAGAAATGTAAAAAAAACCCACTATGCATATCGTCTGATATGAGATGGTCACCATATAATATACTTAGTTAAACCCACCACTGATTATTGTGTCATGAATATCAAATTTTAGTTTTGGAAATAATTACTTCCGATTTTATATGAAATAAACCGATACAACGAAATATGGAATGATCCTCAGTATTGCAATCACTTCACGACAATTTATTGTAATCTTACAAAATACATTTTATAGTTAACGAAAATGCATCAAATTCATGTCTTGAGCATTGAGATACTGCTCCTAGTCTTTTTCCCAACGATCTTGGTGAATAATCTAGCGAAAGTCCGAACTTGATACATGACCTAGGGAATGAAATATGTTGATTTCTATTATAATTGAGTTCGCAGTTTTTCCTGTTCCCGATTCAGTCGAAGTCCCATAACTTTTGTTCCTGTTGAACCAGCTTCCTGAAAATAAATAGCGTCCGTCCTTAATGTCCAAAGTATCCGTACACCAAATTTCAACACAATCGGCCACTTTTAAAAAGACGACAATACAACACTATAAAGGATGTGAGGATCCTTAATAAATTCAGACGTTGATCTGATAATATAGTAAATTGTTCCTGTGCCAGTTTTGTTTAATTCTCTCTATTCTTTTAAACTTGTAAATTGCATTCCTTGTCCTTTTATTTTTGTCCATCTTCAATTATTATGATATGAAAGAAACTTTCTATAACAAAATAATTAGACGCATGATAAAATATTGAACCACACTAAAAACAAGTGGTGCTTTTGATCTTACGCATCCTTGTTTTTTCAAAGAAAGTCGCTTAACACTAATAACCCTGTGATTTTGCGACCATCGTTCTTCAAAAGATAATTCTTTCAAAGCTTTAAAATTGCTTAAAATCTCATTGTTGCCATTTTCAGAATAGGCAACTGTAAATCTTTGACTGTACCATTGAATTTCTAAACTATAGAAAGTCAATGAGTATACTCAACGATGTGCATTAGCTTAGGTACATAATCTCAGCTTTTTTTTTTGTTGCAGTTTGAAACTGGAATGTGAGAAATTAGCCAGCGAAAAAATAGAAATTCAAAGGCATTACGTAATGGTAAGTAAACTACTTATGTATATTCGTTAATTCGTGTTTTTACGATCATAATAAACATTTCACGAGGCTTTGTAAGTAAAAATACTATATGTAGTTAGCGGACTTTTTAATAGAATAACAACATAATTTCTTGAGGATTGCCTATGGGAATGGGATCTTTAAATGACGTGCATTTTTCAATATTTTCATTCAACCCTTAATTTTGGAAACTCATTTTTGAGAGATCTTTCCGTGAGAAGAACTGCAAATTTTTGAAAAAAATGAGAAAATATCTAGTTTCTCTGGTTTCTTTGCCGTGGGAGTAATCTTGCAAGGAATGCAGGCACAAAGAGGTAGGACACTCGATATGATACCACAAAAGGAATATGACCACTGTTTTCAATGGTACATATAATGCTTAGCCATCGTGCCCCCTGTGAAAAGATTAAAAGCGAATTTTTTTCGATCCCTAATAGGTGAAAGATTCCGCATGAAGCACCTATAAAAACCTGTTCACAGAATTTACGATTGCAATATGAAAATTTTCTATTTTGCAATTTATAGAGACACTATTACTTGGAAAAGGTAAAAAAAGACAGATTGACCCTTAATGTACCTACCTACATACTTCATTTGAAAAATTACAAACAATTAAGTAAATTGAGTATTTTACTACCTCTGACTTTAAACTATAAATGAAAGAGCATAGGTGCAAAAACGTTGCTTTACCTATTACCTCGTTTATTACTTTTCTGTGCGTAACGTAGATGTTATTGTGCAATCAATGAAGATAAATAATTACGTGAAGATCACTGCATTTTGCATATTTAATTATAAGTTTATTTAGTTACAGACATAAAAACCAGAAATTACAGCGTAATGAAGCAATTTTATGATATTCATATAAATAATTACGCAATTATTACGGCCATGGTTTATATAGTTTATTAGAGGTGATGTAGATATAATAGTAAAAAAAACACCAACTCAATAGGAGATCCACGCATATTATGTAAATGTTATCAGATCATTTTAATCTTGTCATTAATTAAACACCGATAGAAGCTAATTTAAAAACATTTCTTTAAAGTAAAGTACATAACAATAATCGGTTCATAATAGTAGCTTGTTCTATAAATTAAACAAGCTTTTATTAATGGTTATTCTATTCGGCGTATCATTAATATTCATATAATTCAGAGAATGGTTGTATATAAATGTCCGAGATGTAATCTATAATCGTTTGAGTAAAAAATGGTACAGGTATGTAACGTAAAAGGAGAATAAAAAAATCCTTATTTATATTAATGAATTCTCGTTTCAAAAGAGAAACCGATCTAACAAGAAAAAGCGTAAGTAGACCACCTCTTGCGAATAACTGCCACTATTATAATTTTACACTTTAAATCACGTATTTTTTATATTTAAAAAAATTATTACTGGATTTTTACAATCTTTATCCTACCTGTCTACAACAGAATTGAAGGCAATAATTAGTAAATCAGGATTAGAGCTGGTCTTTTATGTTTCAGCTGAACTAGATAACCTCTTTTGTGAATTAATTTGTTTTCAGGGGAATTAATGGTCAGATAAGTTTAATGTGAGACCGTCCCTAAGTGAATATAAATTATACTATTGTTAACAACTTATGTAAAAATATGCCCCACTGCACATGTATGAATATTGAACAGTATCTTATTATATTAGATTGCCCATTTTGATTTTCCCATAAAACGAAAGAAGAGAGATATTATTATTATTATGCTCATAGGTGGTCTCCTGTCCCTTAAGACCTATTGTACCCTCCAGTTTCAGTCTCACTTCCTTAGGATCACAATGTTTAAAAAAATCTGAAATCCTCATGGAAGCATCTTGTAGCATTCCTGTTTGCATCTTCATTCCACTTGACCTGTTATATATAGCCTCGCAATAACACAGTTTCTATTCCCTCCTGCAAAATGGGTTTACTTCAATACCCATATTGTGGAGGTTGTCGTTTTATTCGACATTAACCCGTTAAGAGACCCGTTTCACGGCGCGGAGTAACTTAATGCCTTGAAGATAAGATTTTTCGATAGATTGCGTTTGTATTATGATATGGTTGTCTATTCCCAACATTTTAAGTATAGTTTGAATTATAGAGGGTGCGTTCACAAAGTAGGCGCGAAAAAAGGTATATTTTTTAAATCGAGAATTTTAAAGATAAACCGCAATTAAACCTCAAACTGCTACTAAATCATCGAATTCCGAATAAAAATGACTTTAAGAATATGTATATCGGAATATCAGGGTCGTGTTTAAAAAAAATTTTTCAAAACCCACTCGTGGGTACAACTGTAAATGATGAGTGACGGCCAAATATAGACCATAGCAGCCCCGACGTCTCTAGGTGGCCCAGGAACCGAGATCTCGATGGAATAGACAGACGACAGACAGACGAGGGAAAATCGAGCACATAAGCGTTAACTCAACTTCGTTGTGTTACGCTAAAAATGAAGTTGATGATGGTTCCACAAAGACCAAACGTCGGATTTACAAATTAACAGCTCCAACTTATTGGATTGTTGTGGAGAAGTGTTATGGGTTTTAGTGTAGAGTAAAATACTAATGCCAGAAAAAAATAGATTGTAAAATCGAAAAATTCGATTTTGTCAAAATATTTCAATAACCAAAAAATGTTCAGGAATTTTGAAACGCTATCTTGATTGCGCAACTTTTCTTCCATTTGACAAAATTTGCATCTCTTACCCTTTCTAGAATGCCCATACTGGCTCTCCTTATCTCGGACACAGCTTATGAAAGGCTCATCCAACTGCAAGATGTGGTAAAGAATATCACTTAGATTAGAGGAATATGTATTGTAGGCGTTTAGGTGCTAAATATTAGCTAATTAATATAACACAACACAAAAAAGACATACAATACACCCACGCCACGCGCCACTTCAGGGAGGAGGCATTTCCAACTAGGTTACTTGCGCTATTATGTATTGCTAACATTTAAGAGTTCCTATTGCTAACTGATGAAAATATTAGTGGAAGACTTGTATCATAATTGATGTCCCCCAGGAATTCATAACTGACTTCGCTTTTAGTATCTGTAGACTTCTATAACGCTGGCCGAGCAGTCGACCAAGGATGGAAACATACATCATTACCGGGTTACATTTATTACATAAACGTCATAAACGAATCATTGGCCCATTTTAATTACATTAAAAACTTGTGTATATAATTGAGGGATTTCGTGTATAACATTGGCGTAATTAATTCCGTTTACAAGAGCAAGCGGTAACCAAGGTGTACAAGGCATCAACAATAATAAATTAATTAAAGTTGCTGTTACATTCGGGCCGGTTGATTAAAGCAATTACTTTACGTACAGACAATTTACGAGACGTGCGTGTTAACGAGATGTACTGCCAACTTAATAGCGCAACTCGCGTTACTCAACAAAATCTTTGGCGGTACGTTGAGCATGAAGGTCATGGAACGTGTTATAAAAACGATGTAAAGGACCTCGGTTTAAATACGCGACCACCCTGTAATTGCCGAAACGGATTTTACTTTTTTTGGTTTGGTTGTGGTTGTGGGTGTGTTATTTGTAGTATTTGAACAATACATATTATCTTTTTTTTCGTTCTAGTGTTATACAAAGTTTAACAAAGCGTGTATACATTTGCTCGTACAATAGTTTATTCAGGTGTAGTTTTTGCATGATGTTGTTATTGAAATTGCCTTTCTCAATGATCAGCGTTAGTTACACTGGGCTGGGTCATTAAAATTGTTGTTGATGTTTGGGATTATTTTGCAGGTTGTATAAAAAATGTTACTATTACTTGTACCGTTTTTCCCCGAATATATATTATGCTACGTACTAGAGGATTAATTTCTTAGATGGTAGTCAAACAAGGCACCATGTTAAAATCAACAACAATCTGGTCTGCAGTAAACTAGAAAAATCATCATAAATATTTTTAGCAAATAAACCGTTGTTTAAGAGTATACAGATATTATCAAACACCAAGAACGTAATTTGCATGAAATAATATAAGTATCGTCCTGTGACTCTTTCGTTGATGGGCGGAAAAGAAATGTAGTTGCAGGGAACATTGTCTCGAAAATTGATGAATCGCATATTCATTATCGGTCAGAATTCAATGCGACATACTCTAAACACCTTGACGTAATTCAGCAATAACGAACTATGTGTGTATTATTTTATTAGACTCGACAGGGTGATTCACGAGAACCGTTGATTAGCCATATCTGGGATAACATTTTTATGTTATCGCCGTGTAACTGCATAATGCTATATTTTTCCATTGAATAACAAAATTATTCAATGATTTTTCAAAAGCTCTCTCTTCCATATAAATAAAAGTGAATCCGCGAAGTGTATGTACGCGGATAACTTCAGAACTAGTGCACCAAATTAGATAATTTTTTGTTCTGGTGCAAAATGGTTAACGATGTCGAAAAGAACGTCCAGTTTTTCTTTAAAAGTGGGTGTATTTTCTTAAGGATTTCAAATTTTCTAAAAGGGGTGAAGGGCCAGGGAGGCACTTATTTGCATAAAACACAAAAATTACAACCTAGAATAGACAACTTAATTTTTGTAGGGGGGATTTATTTCCAGTTACCGGGCACATTGTGGGTCCTGTTGATGTCACATTACAACCCTCGCCATTGACTGCCATCTGAAAGAATTTCGTAGGAAGTTACAATAAATTAGCTCGTAAATTAGTAAAAGAATCAATAAATGAAACCAAAATAACATCGCAATAAAACAGTAGGTATTTAAATTTATTAGGGGGTACCAATACAGAGTTGCAGCTTAACTTGTGGGTCCTGTAATCATAATGAACAACAATTTACAACCATCGCAATAGACGACTATCATATGTAAGCGCTAGTTTTGTTAAAAATTTAGTAATTTCAAAGAGTGAGGGGGTATTTATTTGAAATGGCAGGTGGCCTGGTGGGACAGTAACTTATCGTAAACGTAACACCAGTGTCATG